GTCTTAAAATGACAACATCAAGTCGTATCCAAACGTGGCCGCACGCGCAGGATTCTTCTGTCAGAATCGACTTCCTTATCAAAATAAAAGGTTTCATGGTGATGCTGTTTGTGTTTTTCCTCCAGGGAAGAAGCTGTCTGATCTGGAGAGGGTCACTTCTCTGAAAGTTTACAACTGGTTTGCCAATCGCCGCAAAGAGATCAAGAGACGTGCCAACATTGGTAATGTAGCTCTGTTTAAATCACAAGCTGTTAATGAAAGGTGTTACTGTTCCTGCCAGCTCACAGGGGGCTGCATGACCTCTGCAGGGGGCAGGGAGGAGGGCGCTGTGGGCTCGGAGGATGTTCAGGTCAAACTCGCTTCTTTAGATATGCAGTAGAAACATTTTTTTTATCAGTGCGTTTATTTATTCTTTCAGATGTTTGAGTTTTTTACATTTTGTCAAAAGCATTTTAATGATGCGATATTTTAGTTGTACGTTTCTTTGGTGAAGCTTTGGCCTCCTGCTTTTCAGTTCGTTGGGGTTTCCGCTCTGATCAGGTCTGGACTTTGGTCACTGCAGCTCGACTTTATTTCCTCACTCTCTGTCATTGGCTAGGTTCGCTGGGGTCGCTGTGAGACCCAGCGTGGGTCGAGCTTTAGCTGTGGGGCTGATGATGGGCAGCAGTTCTTCCTTCCTGATTGGCCTTGTGTCGCCTGAATGCTGCAGACTTGCAAACTGTGCTTTTATAGATGTGCTCACACCTGCTGATCAGCACCTGGCTGCTGCTTACCGTCCTCGCTACGATGGAGGCAGCAAGGCTGGACTGTGTGGTTCTGTGCTTGTCTGATGTTAAGATCTGCTGATTTTCATCATGACCTTATATGTAAAACCTTGGAATTAGAAGACAGCGTGTTTCCAGCGTGACGGCAGCTGTTCAACGATGTGACGTGAATTCGATCGGTAACTCTTATATTTGTAATCTGTTAAAACTTTGTTGCTGTTGCAACTATAATAGTGTTATAATAAATACAGTTTACAGAGGTGGGGATGTTGTTGCATTAAAGTACACACAGAAATATGGTTTATAAATAAGGTGTAATGTCCGTGGGTGTGGCAGTTATCCTCCAATCAGGGTGGAGGTGGGGCATGTCTGACAGCCTGTGGGTAAAAAGTTCGTCTTCATCTTCAGACGTCTTCGTCTTAGGTCGTCTCAGCCAAATGTTTGCAGCATTACTTCACTGCTTCCAGCCGTTTACTTACAGCAGCCTTTATTCTCCCTGACACCGTTCACTTACCACCTTCAGACAGGTTCGTTTATTTGGAGTTTCTTTCAAACCTCTCGTTGTATCGCTGGGTTACAGTCACTGCTCTCGTGTGTTGTAGTATTGTCAGCGATGCATCATGAGTCTAACGAGCCATCCTCTTTCTCCAAGAAGCCACAATCCTGGAGAGCCATGGGATAGACGTCCAGAGTCCAGGGGGACACTCCAACAGCGACGACATCGACGGGAACGACTTCTCGGAGCAGGTAGTGTGATCGTGCTGAGAAAAGACTGAGCAGCTTTGTTTTCATAACTGATCAACAACAAGCATGATGGTTTTATTTTTGAAGCTCCAGCTTCTCGTTCGTGAGCTGTGATCTTTTTTACTGCTCAGCTTTGTTGACTGTTCTAATTGGTCTGCGTCTCGTTAGTGTTAATAATCCCAACACGCAGCTCCCTGAATACACAAAGCACTTCAGGTTCTGTGCTGTACATGATTGAAACTTGAAACGCATCAGCGAGCAAATGTCCGCGCTCTCGTTTTGTCCTGTTACCGATGGAAACATGTCTGCTTTATCTGGGTTGAACACGCCAGCTTATGATTGCTCAACATCTCAAGCAACAAGGTTACATTTCCAACGTGCACAAGTCCAGCGTTTCAGAGCAGCCCAGTGTTTCCAGAATTTATTGCAGTTCAAGTCATTCAGTCCAGTGAGCAGCTTGAAATGGTACAAAGGTCAGAGGTGAAACACCGCAGGTGTAAAACAAATGACCCCAAACTGAAACACAATGTCCAGAAAGACACAAAAAGAGCTTTTTCAGGGACAACATGGGGTAACTGTTTACAGCTGCAGTAAAGCATCAGGCCTTGAAAGCTGCTGCTCCAACCTCCCTGGATCCCTTCAGCCCCTCTGTCTGTAGTGTTGGAGCCCACTGTGGTAGCAGAGCCTGGACACATCAGCTGAACAGTGTTGTACTGCAGGAAGTAGAGAAAAGGGGAATTAACCATGGAAGAGACAGACCATCAAATGTAGGAAAGTCACAGTGTGAGTGAGTTTCCTTCAGCATCCAAGTCACTCAGAAACAAACTGACAGGAAGATGCTGCAGAGCCAAAGACACACCTGAGTGCGAGGACAGCAGCCCGCGCGACGGGCGGCTCGCCGCGGCCCGCGCGACGGGCGGCTCGCTGCACTCTTCAGCAGCTTTCTAACCGTTTTTATCATTTAAGGAATATTTCAGACTAATGGTGTCAAAAGCTGAACTTGAGATGATCATTCATGCGTTCATTTCTTGACGTGTAGACTACTGTAACGGTCGTTTTACTTGTTTTAACAAATCAGCTTTAAATCATCTTCAGACTGCAGAAAGCTGCAGCGCGACTTTTAACAAGCACCGAGCGAAGATCTCGTATCACTCCAGCCTCCCTTCACTGGTTGTAAGTTTTAGGTTTCATTTTCAAACTTTAGATTGAACCTTTAGGGCCCTACATGCTCCCCAGCACATGTCTGACCTGCTGAAACCTCCTTCTTCTTCCCGAGCTCTGAGGTCATCAGCTCAGACACTGTTGGTGGCCCCACGCACTCGATTTAAAACTCGTGGTGGCCTTTCAGCCAGTGGCAGCGCTCCCACTGGTTCACGCTGCACAGACTCATTGATCCTGTTAAAAAGCAGCTGAAGACATTTTTATATAGCTTCTAATTGATTTGGAAATACGACAAATAACAATGTAAAACAGTAAAATACAACATTCTTTTCATTTTCTTTGTTGTAAAGCACTTTTTATCTGTGAAAAGCGCTTTATAAATTTTACTGACTCACAGCAGCTTCAGGCACAGAGTGGTCGTAGCAAGTCTCAGTTCCAGCTGTGAGGAGAGGACGAGCTGCAGAAGGAAAGCCGTCAGTAGGATGTCAAAAAAAGACAAAGAGGTTCCACAGTGAGTGCCATCAACCAGTTTGCTGATCCAGGGTCGCTGACTCGTACAGAGTGAGAGGCTCCCTGAACACAACAGCTATCGCAGCTCCATGCAGGACCATGCAGCACCATGCAGCTCCATGCAGCACCATGCAGGAGCCGCTGGTATGGACCGAGTCTGTCAGGAGTTCATCCTACAGCAAGATAATGACCCAAACATCAGTCCAAGCTCTGCCAGAACCACCTCAGGAAAACAGAACAAGATGGTGAGCTTGGAAACACGGAGTGTGCAGCACAGTCTCAGACTTAAACCCATCGAGCTGGTTTGAACTGGACAGAAGAGCGAAAGCAAAGCAACAACATCCACATTCATGGAACTTCTGCTCCAGATGTGGGAGAAGATTAGATTTGTGTTGTAGCCAGAAGCCACGGCTGTGTTCAGCTGTTATATCAAAGGAGACACTTTGGTCTGTAAACTGATTCCATGATTTCTTTGTTTAACTCGTTTATCTGTCAGAGCAACGAGACATGAAACTGCAGGATTTTCACAATAAAAGGCTGGAAAAGTCAGAGTTCTAAAACGTTTGACCGGTAGTGTGAACGTGTTTCTGCTGTGGATAGGGATGGGTATTGATACGATTCTCACGATTCTGATTCTGTTTTCGATTCTGTTTAACGATTCGATTCTTTATCGATTCTTTTTAAAAAGGAGAACACTCGATTAGCTCAGAACTTTGTTTTATATCTTCTCTTTGAACAAGATAGAAATTTAGGAGTAACATGGCCTTACAAACCCAACAGTGAGATCTTAACAGATCCACAGCCTGCAGCTCTTCAATGGGGGGTCACAGGGTCCCCAGGAAAAACATTGTAAATGTAAAATAATTCTCAACAAGAACCGTGTTTCGATACCCATCCCTAGCTGTGAAGCAGCGCTTGCTGTAACAGTGAAAGAGAAGACGTCATTGTGCAGATTTTACTTGTCGCACTGCAGACGACCTGCTAGCTAACGCAGTAACTCTTTGTTGGAACACCTGCAGGCCTGTGACCTCCCCTATTTTGACAAAAGACCTCTCAGCCGACCTTTTGGCCTTTATCGCCTGGAGCCCACCTCGCCCACACAGGTACCCC